AATTAATGCTGTTTTTAATTAGAAAACAAATCTAAATAAAGTCATGGCATGACTGCTGAATTTAAAAAAAAAAAAAAAAAAATTATGTATATATTTATAGTTCACACTTTTAAACTTTTAATTAGCTACGTCACATATTATTTAATATGATTAGGCATGCTGATAATGAGTCATTAGAAAGCTGAGCATATCTAGATTATACTTCAAAATCACAGTGATTTCAGGTTCAATTATAAAAAACTAGATTTTTAAGTCTTCAAAACAATAATCATGTATTTAAAAGTCTTAGAAAGGAATATTTACTTAGTAAACAACTAAAAAATTTTAGCAAGTTAGCTTGTGAGAGATAAATAGTGTTTATTAATAAGACTTTTGAGAATAACAAACCAGACTCTATATCTCAGCCAATACCTATTACTGCTCAAGAGGAAGAAGTAGCTATAAATGAAGAAAATATAAAGAAAGAAGAACTTATAACAATTATTAATTTATTGTTAGATTCTCTTGATATTTCAAACTATTTAAAATACTGTAGATTATAGCAAAAAACTCGTAAACAATTACTAGAAATATTGCAAAGTATTAAAAATTTGCATAATGATCAAAATGAACCTGAAAATGAAATAGAACTAGAAAATTAAATAAATAATAAAATTAATAATAAATAATTAGCTTCTAATAATTGCAATTTAAAATTACTAACAAGATAGTTAAACAAGAGTTTTTGGATAATTCTCAATGTTATTCAAACTTGAAATAAAGTGTATTTTCTCTAGTTAAAGAATACAAAAGATGTTATAATAAAAAATAAATAAAAATAAAAATAAAACATACTACTGTATCTCTTAGAACTTAGCTTTCACTGATTTCATATTAAATGGTTTAATTGTACTGTTGAACTTCCCAAATCTGATCATGTTAAATCAATAACCTTTCAATTCAGATAAAAAATTAATACTCTGGCTCAACTCTCTCACATAACTTTTATCAGAAAGAAAGCTTTCCAGTCTTGTTTCTGAATTCTTGACTGGTGTCCGTCATCATTCTTTTTCCTTAGCCATGTCCATTCTG